AAGTCACAGCCAGGAAAAACAAACAAGTCACGTTTTTTTCCAGCTAGGGACAGTGTTTTAAATCAGTTTTTAGCAAGCCAGACGCTGAACGAAAATCTCAGTCAGTAAATGATCTAATGCTAATATTTCCCAGCCAGCGTAATTGCAGCCTGTCGAGCGGGTTTTCTGTCGAGCGGCTCCGTCGGGTACTCCTCAGTGATCAGAGTGATGCCATAGAATTTTCTGTATTTTAGGTAACGAACATCTTGTGAGCTGTACAAACTGTTTTTGACATGCGTTAAGGACATTGAATAATACTCTGGATGTTGTAACGCATTTGATGATCAATTACAAATTTATTAGATAACGTGCAGTAAAAAGGCGATTATCAGCTTTATCCCGGTATAACGATATTTATAGAAATTTTCCCACAATATCGTTATTCCGGGAATTCGGCTATAACGATATCCCGGTTTAACGATATAATTTTAACGTGCCCGTGGCATATCGTTAGGGCTCCACTGTGCGTGGAATGTCTTCCAATATTTTATTCAAGGGAGTACACCACTCGGAATATAATCCGGAACTATGATGTCACTTCCTTTTCGTGTCACGGCCTTTTGCCATACCAAAATTAGGAATAGCGCCCGCTGGCAGAAAAGGAAAAAATCAAAAGAAAATCACTTGTCACTCCTGCCAAGAGGGCAGTCGATAGAAATCCATGTCAGGACAATTTTTGTCGATGATTTTAGCATTGCTCGAAGCACGTGAAGCACGTGAGTAACATTAACACATGCATGTCATGACCATATTTGCCCACAAAACGTTTCCAGAAGAGCATCTTCGCGGTATGCTTCAGTTCTGTCCTCGCAGGTTTTGACCTTTGCTCGTCGCCGAAAAAAAGTATCATACATTTCCTGTGGGGAAAATTCTTTGCTGTTTTCTCTGTAAGTGGATTCTTTGTCGACCTTGCCGCTGGAGTAGGTGTAGGTTACATGTAAATTTACTTTGGCCTTGCCGGAAAGGTTAATCGCATTTCATTTACGAATACCGTGGGTCTAAAATCCAGTTAATTTCAAGTAGCAGGGGTGCAGGGGACATCAAATGTATGAGCAGTAAGTAAAATGTTAAACACGACCTTAACTCCGCTTAATCTCACCGCTACACTAGACGAGAATTGGCCGGTGTACTTCAATCTTAAATTCCTAAATATCCTTGTTGGTGTATCGATACAGCAAAACAGATGTCTGTTTTTGTGGTAAAGGAATGCTAAATGCGACTAGATTTCATCATTTGCCGGGCAAATGAATGGAACTTAACCGAATGTTACTAAATTCGGTGCCGGCGTTGTAATGACATAAATTTACCGCGTAAACCTGAAGTTTCACACAAAAACACGTGGAAAATAAGTCGGTAGAACGAGGGGTCTACACCAGTGAAAAATGTATTTGTATTGTTCAGTATTGTTTGTAATATTCGTGTTAGTTTGTCACAAATCTTGGGCAATGTTACGACCAAGGTTACTGAAGGTCAGTTGGGCATTTGCCCGGAAATCCAGTGAGGTATTTGTGAAGTTTAATTTACTGGTTGCTTGTACCTGTAACACTATTTAACGCTTACCTAGCATTGCGAATTGTCCGGCAATTTTTTTCGTAAGATCTCCTTAGTTGTTTGGTTAAAAACGGCGTTATATTGTTTTCAGGCTAGAATCACGGGTTTGGAAATATAATACACTGTGGTGATTCAGTCAAGAATTTTGAGAATCGTGTCCAAGTTGCAAAGACTTGTTAGGAAATTGTCCTTCTTATGGGAGAGAGAGAGAGAGGGTGACCCTGCATTTTGCGTTTGTCAGTTTTAAAAGTTTGCTGTTGTTTTCCAAAAAGCCTAAACTCGTCACCTATTTTTAAGTGTTGAATGTTTTTTTCACAGTTTCCTGTGCTTGCTTTTGCAGGATTTAGGGACAGAGTCATAAGGAACAGTTCACCGGACAAACAACGCGTCGATTTTTCATTCCAAAATGAATCTTTACTCAAAATACTTGGAATCTGCTCCGTCATTTCTTTATGGCCTGTTGTGCTTCTTTGCCTTTGTTCTGTGGACGTTGTTTGCTATCCTGACACTTCCACTCTGGTTCCTGTTCAGAATTTTCAAGTGGTTCCAAGGGATTTGCATTTCATACTACAGACTAGGGAGGCTGCTGGCGAGTTGGGACGTACCGTTTCTGCACGAGACAGAATACAACCGTAACTTTATCAACGGTCTATTCGTGGTGGATGGCTCTATAGGTCTGCCAGAGCTCCGTGAGCTGCTCATGGCCCGTGTGGTACAGAATGTCGAGGAACCTAGCTATGCACGCATGCGCAAACTCATAGTTCAAACTTACTGGCGCTACGTTTGGCAAGACGAGCCAGATTTTCATATCAACAAGCACGTGTACCTATTCGAAGGCCCTTCTCCATGTAACGAACTAGAATTGCAGAGAATGCTTAGTGAGCAGTTTTCCTCACCGATGCGTGACAACATTTCCCCGTGGGAGATTCTGGTGGTGCCTTTGGACATGCCGGGCAAGGATCAGACCGCCATTTGTATGAGGATGCATCATGCTTTAGGAGACGGATTCGCCTTAATTGGTCTGTTTTCCAGGCTCATGGATAAGAAGCCAGAGCTACTGCGTGTCAAAAAACCCGTGGCCACCCCTTGTGACAAACAAAAACAGGTAAGGATTGTCGAGTATGGTAGTTCTAAACGCTTCGTTTTTGTTGTCACTCCTTCGCGCGCGCGAGGCGAGTTCATTACGCGTACAATTTTGGCATTTTAAATTTGCTAAAATAGGCCTAGTAATAAATAGATTTATATTTTACTTTGGAATTTCGTAACTATCTGAATCTGTTGAGTTCGCCAATCGATTTGAAAACTTCCTCAAACTAAATACATGTAATTTCAGTGATCAATTCAAAACAAGTTGCCGTCGTGGCCTACGTTCTCTAAATACGCAGCACTTGATTATCTCAGGTTGTTGATTTGCAGAGGACGGCTACGAAATGTGCAAAGATTTAAAACGCACGTGTTTAGCCATTGTTTTATTTATAAACCTTTTGTTTGTTGACTTTTTATTTGCCGTTGCCGTCGTGGTTTGCTTAAGCTCTCTAATGTAAATTGAGAGCAACTTTGCTGTTAAGTGAGATTCATTGCCACATTCTGTTTGCTATGTATTTTGCAGGTGTGGAAAGCCATTCTAACAGGCCCATTGGCCCTTTTAAGCGTGGCACTATCCAAAGCAGACAACCCTTTTCCCGCTAAGAAGATGTCTGGAGAAAAGTGCGTTAGTTGGACTAAAGCAATCAACCTTGAACTTATTAAAGAAATCAAGACGCGAACAGGTGATGAAAACATACGTTAAATCAACCAGAATAGTTTCTAATAAGACTATAGAGGTACACTTGACCCCCTATGTGGGAGTGTTGACCTTGGTTAGAGCTGTCCTCGTCTTCAAGGTTCCACAAAGTTAATAACAACCTTATTCAATGAGTGATTCTAGCTGTGAGCTTCTTGTGTTTCGTACGTGGGATTACTAGTGTTTAAATTTGGTTTTACCATATATGCTGCCACGTTAAGGCAATGTTGTTACAATAGTTTGTCCGTGAGTCTAGATCTGATTAAGATGTGTACTTTCACCAGTAGCGCTACATGCTGTCCAATTTGGAAATATTTGGATGAAAAGATTCCAAGGACTGCCAGAATTGGATGAGCCCGGATGCCGAGCCCAATTTGGCAGTCAGATGAATCTTTTTAAATTCAATTACAGTTGTTAACCTCGGGGAAATGGGAGGTGGCCGCTTAGTAGGAGTTGCCTTTGAGTTGGCCGTTAATAGAATTTCGTCAGAGATTAGCATAAGGCTTTGTACAAACCTCAATTATTTATTCAAATAATTTATTCAAATACATTAAGGTAACATGGAATCACGTGCGGATAATTATAAACGTGTGTTTGAGTAAATTTCTATTTCGGATTCTTATCTTTTTATCACCTTTTCCAAAACCAAGGGAAACTACGTGTATTAAATTTTGGGTGGCCGCTTTAATAATAAGGGTTAGGGCAATAGAAAAACCTTCATCGGTATGACCAAAAGGTGGCCGCTTAATAGGGGTTTTATTTGAATGTAGTATTTTAATGTAAGCATTTGCGGGACTTTGATAACTGGCCAGTTAACAGGTTGGCCGCTTAATAGGGGTTCACCTGTATGTTCAAATTGGACAAGATGATCGACTAGGGTGTAGTCGCTTTATAAAATTATATTGCGGCTTCTCACCGAAGACTGTCATCGCTTTCACAGTCATGTAAGCGCACCGAGTTTTACTTATTGTATTCTCTACCTTAGGTACAACCGTGAATGATGTTCTTTCCACCTGTTTAGCGGGTTCGTTGCGTCGATATCTGAGTTCCGAGGGAATGGAAAATCCCGCTGACATCCAGATCGCTGTAAGTATAAACACGCGTTCTCCCAAAGTTCTGTCACGTGACAACATACCCCTGGAGAATCACTCCGCTGGCTTGCTTTACAACCTGCCTGTCAGCATGGCCGATCCACTCAAGCGTTTGCTGGAAACCAAGCGGAGAATGGATAAGTTGAAGTCTTCAACAGACTGGCGAATCTTTGGGTTCATCTACGACCATATTGTTGGCAGGTTACCTGATTTCATCGGCCGGTTTTCTTCGTTCTCTCTCAACCGACATGCTTCCCTGATACTAAGCAATGTGCCAGGTCCTCTGACGCCGTTTGAAATTGGCGGAAAGGAAGTGGTGATCGCGATACCTTGGCCCCCATTGGTCAGCGATACGGGCATGTCGATTACGGTGTTCAGCTATGCGGGTACACTGCGCATGAGTGTTCTGTCCGACAAAGCTGTGCTTGCCAATCCCGGTAAACTAACAGAAATGTTCATAGAAGAGTTCGAAGAGATGTACGAGTGCATGAAAAACGCTCCTGCGTTAATAACGGAGGACATGGCTAAGTGTAAGAAGTATTATTAGCCAGTCAAGGACGATGGGTGGGTCGTGAGATAATGTGTTGATGTTGTTATTGTTTCTTTGACTTTTGTTCTCCGTGTTTTCATCTTAACCTTTAGACGCAGTTGCCGTGATATGTACGAGTAAAGTTAATGTTGTGGACCTTCCTTCCACTGAATTTCAACTGTCAGTGGTGGAGGAGCAAAGTCCTTTATTTTTTGATTGATTTTCATCTAGAAGAAAAAGAAAAAAAAGATTTAAAAATGAATTGATTTATAGAAAACCATTAATAATATATTTGACGATGACTGACACATGTTAGAAATACTTTAGGAGTTCACGGACGTTTTAACATTTAGACGTGTGCTTTGGATTTATTGCAGAATTTGTCGGAATCTCCATCCTCTGCATTATGTAGTTAGGAGTTCAACGAATTGGAAAGGCATTTCAAGCATTCATTTCGCGGTGATTGAATTTTTAACATGATTCGAAACCTTTTATTGAATTGTCATAAATAAATCGGAGATGCCACAAAAATGAAAATTGTCAACGAGCTTTGAACAGTTAAAAAAAATGCGATATTGCTAATTTTTATTTCTTATTTATAATCAAACCGATCAATTCAATCAGCAGCACTTAAAATATTTCTTATTAATATATTTGCAGTCGATAAGTTGATTAAATTTATAGAATTGCCAGATTCAATTTTAGTATATGCAGGATGTGTCATCATTATGGTATAGATGAGGGATCACGGATTTGACAAACGACGTCTCGTACATACTATGGACATTGCAATTTCCCCTGCCGATCTTAGCTTTGGGCCTAAGTAGACTTTGAAAGAACGCCCAGGCCATTGGAGAGATGAAGAGATAAGGCTTGATTTGACAAACTGTTGTGCTTAGGCAGGCTTCAAAGCACGTTGTTTTCGTCAGCTTGGAGTGCGTCTGAGTTCTTCAAGTAATCGTTTTCGGGTCAGGGTGGTTGAAACAAAACTATTTGGAAAGAACTTTACAGTTTCGCAGTGAAAGTAAAGACAAAGTTTAGATAGGTATGGCCAAACGAACGGCTGAATTTTGAAATTTAGAATGTATTTATAAGGCCTGGTTTTCACTATGACATAAACACAAGCACAGGCATCAGCATAATGACTGTGAGGACACTAACAACACAAGCATTTAAGCACAAGCACGCGATAGTGAGATCGCGCAAAACACAAGCATAAGCACAGGGACAAGCAGAACAAAGAATTTTGTTCGTCTAGCGATTGTGCTTATGTTTATGTTAAAACATCGTCCTTTGTTTTACTGCATCGAGGAGGTGCGGAACCCATTCTCGTCCCCAGAGGCCGCGCTCCTTTTGGTCAACACAAAGAATCGCGACCTCTTGGAAGGTCCAATTTTCTGAGCATGCGCAGAGTAATCGTTTCGTATTCCCAGCCAATCAGATTTGTTAGACTTGACTGAGCATGCACAGAGTGACGGGAATCACGGACTTCCGGTGTTGGACGAGGCCAAAGGTCGCGATTCTTGGTTCTGACCAAAAGGAGCGCGGCCTCTGGGAACGAGAATGGTACGGAACCGAAAATAGGCCAATTATACATTCTGCGCATGCTTGCGTTGTACATCCTCGCTACCGTTATGCTTATATATGCTTGTGCTTATGTCGTAGTGACAAGCGGGCTTAAGGGTATGCTAACAAAAAAAAAACTTACAGCGATTGGACGCTGGCGCCCATGTGACAAAAAGCTTAACCTATATATTGGTATCAGTTTTGAAATGTTACGTCAGTTGAATAGAAAGAGCTGTTTCATTTTGACGGCAAGAGCGAGGATGGTATAAAGAAAAGTAAAGTGTGCATATTCGTTTATTTGTATTGTGTCAGTGGTACCTCAGCTATTAGAAGTCCTTTACGTTGTAATCGATAACAAAAAAAAAAAAAGAAAAAAAAAGAGGAGAAATAACTCTGGACAAAGTGGTGTGAAAACTGGACAGTGATGTCCCGTCTTCTCACGCTCCCGAACCAAGGTTAACACTAGATTTTTCTTGACTGAAGTTCGAATACCCGTAAGATTTTGAACTTCTGTTGGTTGACAAAAAATTCCGGGAACATCTGATAAGCTGGATATCGCTAACACAGATACCTGATACTTGAAGAGTTACAGTCAGTTAGCTTTTCGCTGTTTGTTTCATCCTACGGAATTCATTAACATCATGGCCAGTGCACTACAGCTGTTCAGAGCAGGCCTGCTAGATTTAAGGTGGCGGTTGTTTTCCAGGGAGGTTTATCCTTAAGCGTTTTGCTCCAACGTTTCCCAAATATCTGAGGCTGGTTCTTATGTATTTGTAGAATCTTTGAGTGATCAGTGATCACTTTAGGTAACTCCCTGGCAAGAATGACTCGCTACTTTTGCTAACAAAGCCTTGTAAAACCTCTTGGTAATTTACCAAACTACTTCTTGTGCTATGTTGATCGCACCTCAAGAAGTTGGTAGTACAGCTACATCAGAACGGTAAAAGAGGGTTTCTAAATAATGTGTAATTCAATGTAACTGGTTAATTTGCTTTCGCTTTTGTGCAGTTCTATTGTTTAATGTGTGAAAGTGATCTCCATGATTGAATAAAGATACTTTACTTTATTTGATCTGTCTGTGTCACTGGTGTATTTTGACTATTTTCATAGATATTCTTTGAACGTGATCAGGAGAAAGGGTCTACGATAGTACATTTTATAACGAATAAAAAATTTGTCTTTCACTCATGCCTGCCATTAACTGATCAGAGGTTATTATTGAAAAACTGGACTAATAGGAAAAAAAAAACAGTCGAATATATTTGCTATTCCCACGAAAACATATCTCCTAAGGAGCGAGAGATGAATGCATGAACCAAAATCGGGAACCCAAAGGGTGCATGTTTGAGATACTCATTTGCATTAACGGACTCGAGCCGATGACAATATTGTGGGATACCACGGGTATCCCACGCAAAAAAACCGTTACGTTGAAGAGTTTTGAATTATGACAACGGAAAATAAAAGGTTAGGAATCGAGCTCACCTCGTCCTTTTATTTTTAACCATGACGCTCCAGCGTGCCTTATCCCTTCAGAGTTGTGAAAGAGTGGCAAGAGAATGGAGAGGATCGAAGAGGATGGAGTTGATGGCGGCCACAGTTAATAAGCTTGGGTAAACCTTGCCTCTCCATCCCACATCCAACCTACTTTTTTTGAAGCTTTCTACTAAAGATCCGGCGCTCTATTCGATTGCCACTGTGGTTTTCCCTTTCTTGGAGTTTTTTTATTTTTCAGATTTCGGAACATTTTTCAGTCCGTTACAGGATCTAGAATTCCGGCCGACTTTAGTAGACTCTATGTGAATGATATACGGAGAATCTATCGCTAAAATGATTACCGCTGACTCAATTTTCTTTTTCCGATGACTTGGCCAATGACTTTTCCAATATGGTGGACACTTTCGACCTTTTTCGACGACTAAGTGTAGGTGCAAAATTCAATAAGAAGAAATTTCACAATGACACAGAAAATGTTAAGGTAAGTCTTAGAAGGACATGTTGTCAAAAAATACGGTTAGAGAATTTCTGTCACTTAATTACAAAACATTGGACACAAAACTCACGTGTTCCCAGGTCTTTGATAAACATTTTAATTTACATTGTCTTGTACTCAAGATTCAACTGCTTTGAGCAAATTTTTGCAATTTGAACATATATCTACAGGATTCCAATGAGTGTGTCTTTCATTCTGAGAATGTTGCTCAAGCACTGGACTTTTTTGGAACTTTGGGAGAACCTGGAGACTCGCTAGACCGAACTAGTAAAGCTGAAAAATCCAAAGGGACATCAAAGGATCTATTAGATTCTGGTAACAGGACTAAGAATAAGAAATCAGAAGAAGAATCCTCTGAATTTAGGGGAAAGAGAAAGAAAAGAAAGCGAGTCACAACTAAAGGTGAAGCAAAGTCGTCGATTTTTCTGTGAAACGTTTATGGTACTTGTAAGTTTCGGTTGCTTTTTTTGTTGAATGTTGTAGAATGTGTACAGTGGTCGATGCGCCTAGCTACAAAAAGCTATATATAGGCTTAAAAATCCCAACTGGCAGGAAGAAAATTGGCTATTCAAAAACATGACTGAGGAGTTGAACTACATTGTAGGGTCTACCGAAGAAACATTTGGTAGACCCTACTTGAACTTGAACCTGTGACCTCCAGGTTTCAAGTCTGGCACCCTAACCACTCAGTCATGCTGCCTCCTCTTTACTTGGTATAGATTAACTATAAATTGGAATCCCAATTTCTCCTATCCGTCAAGTTTTCTGAGGTACAAATTTAGGTCCAAGTTGGTTGGAGTTTCTGGAATTCTGCAGTTCGAGACATTGGGATACCACCTGCAACAAAATACGTACCCAGTGATTTCAATCCTTTGTTGGTACAAATGGTTGCAATTTTGTTCCTGTTGTTCTTTTTTATTTTGTTCTAAAACAAATTTAAAGTGGTACTATGATCAAATTTTTACCCCTCAATTTTTAGGTGTATCACATAGAGTTCCATGAAAGAAAAAAACACTGTTTACCGTTTTCAAATATCTGCATTAGTTCCGGAGATATTTAAGTTTGAAAAATGTGTAAAATATGCAAATGAATGACTGATGACGTCATACACTCAACCCAATATTATATTATGTATATAAATAGAGCTATCTCAGTCAATTTACGGCAGAATCCATTGAAACTTGGTAGGCCAATAGTTCTACAGGAAACACACCTACGGCTATAAAAAATTCTGTTCCCATGGCAAAATTTGAAAATAGTAAACGACATTTTTCTTCTCATAAAGACTACTTGTTTATGTTTTAAATGGCTTAGATAGGAGAGATGCGATTTTTGTCATAGTACCACTTTAATTCTCTCAATTAGCATCTAATGTATTATACAGTACCAGTGGTAGATCCAGACCTTGAGCTAAGGAGTAGGGGGAGGGGGGACTGTTTGCTTGCCTTGCCAGCTTTTCTTCCTTCTTTTTTTTTTTTCACCCAAAATAAGAGGGGTGGGACAGGCCCCCCGGGCCCCACCCCTAGATCTGCCACTGAGTACATGTACTATTTTTATTGTAATTGTTGCTTGCTTAATCCTGGTGAAAAGTTTTCAAGGGTCTTAAAGAAACTTTGCATTGAGGAATTTCATAAGGATCTTATCAAGGATCCCAATCAAGATCTTCTCTTGACCAAGTTAATATAATGATACTCAACAAACTTGAAAGATTTTTCTCAAAGATCCTGGCATAATCTTTGAAGATACGGGAGGATAGGTGCAAGATGAAAGGTCTTTTAGGATCCTTGAAAGATCCTTATCCTCAATAATCTTTAGTATGTCCTTGTAAGACATTAAGAACTAAGAATTAAGACTTGTGGCATTCAAAACGACAATGTAATATTATATTTTTTTGTCTGCAGATGAAAATGGTAATGGAAGTATACCACTGCCAGATTCTAAGGTTAAAATCTTTGCAGAGCAAACATCTGGAAATGTCAGTGTTGATAAAAAGTTCAGTTCTGAAAGGATGACAGAACTCCATCAAGAAAAAGTAGGTTTGTCGTCACAAACATAATGTTGTTAGACAAAAGTAAACAAACCTGTGTAAGGCTGCCTGCTCTTCTCAAGTGAAATCTGAAGAAGGGCATCTGTGTTGTACCGTTGTTAATAATAATTATTGTGTTCTAGGCCATGTGATTTTTCCAGGAATGTGTGGAAAATGACCTGATCTCATTGATCATTTGCAGTTTCATAAAGTATAATGTTTGTGTATTGTTGAATTAAATGCCCTGTGTTTCGACAAATATCTGGAGAGTTAACTGTAGAGACCAAAATGGAAAATAATGTGTTACAGACACCCCTCTCTGAGTTTTCTTGGGGAGAGCGGGCATCTACACACAGGCTGAAATAAACAAAATTCATGAAAAACAACCATGGGGATAACTTATCAATGTGTTAATTATGCCACAGTTAAGAATGGTAAAATCGCATACATGGAAGTACATGATTGTACTGTTAATAAAGGTGTTTAGGCTCAGCGCATATAAAAAGTTATAAACATAAAGATTTGTGAATGATCAGTAGACTCACTGACTTACATTTACTTTAATTTGCATAGAATTGTAGGAATATGACAAACTCTTACTGGATAAGAGTTCTCCATATACTTTGTATTTCATAGAAAGTTCATTGTAAAAAGAACAAATTAATAATTTTATACGATTTGCAATCTTTTGTCTTCAGATGAATATTGCAAGGAGAGAAAACCACATATATGTTAAGGGCTCAGATATTCCTGATCTGGCAGAGAGTTTTTCTGATTTACAAGAGAGGTATTAAAAATGATTTCATGCGTAGTGATCTGCTGCCAAGCTTCCTTTTCTTGTGAGGGAAAGTAGACTGTGGATTGGGATCCTCAATAAAGTTTCCTTGGAACCCTGCAGGGACTCCCATATAAAAAGGGCAGGGGCTCTGGGTGTACCTTTTGGGGGTAGAAATGCAGTTGTTTTGGTGCCTCTTAGGGTGTTCAGCCTGGTCCACAGCGGGAGCTTTTGCAGTACCTTTTAGGGTATCAAGCCAAAAAATATGACAGGAGATAATGTGTTGTTTTAGAATTGGTACCTCTAACTCTTAGGTGTGAAAACACATTTTAAGCCACACCCACAAAACAGGATCTTTCATTGGTAGTTCTCAGAGGTTCTTATCAAAATTTCCAACGAGCACCTCCGTCTTTTTTATATGGGATTCTGAATCCCCCCCCCCCCCCCCAGGCTCAGACCTTTTATAATCTATTTGAAGCAGAAAAGTGTAACCCATTCAGAGATGTTGATAACCATTTCACGCACAGTTGTAGAAATTTTGCTGACTTCCACTTGAGTAAGCCCTTAAAATTCCTCCCCCATTAGGAGCATCTGTTTGAATTCTTCCAAAACAAAGTCCTTTAAAATACCTATAGTAAATGACAGTTTCCCTACCCTCTACTATACTTCAACTCATGAAATCCCTACTTCCTTTTATGTACTCCAGTCTGAAAATGGTACCTCCATACGTATAGGGAATTAACACTAACATTGCTTTTTCTTCTTTATTTTGCTTGTCAAATGACTGCTACATTATTGCTTGGCTGATTTAATCCAACACATTCTGGTACTTTTCAATGATGGTAATGTTTTTTCATTACTTAGAAAAATATTATAATAAAACAGTCACTTTTTGTAATAGAACACAATTTTTTTTCTGAACAAAATTTCAATTGTCCCTTTGAACACTCGTCATTGACTTGTAGAAAACTTGAACTTGTGCATAGTCTAATATTAAAATTTCTTTCCTACATGCTTTCTTATTTTTTTGATATTTTGTTCAGATATAGACTTGCTCCTTACATGATAGAGAATGTAACCAAGAGGGGTTATCAGCAACCAACTCCAATTCAGATGCAAGCTATACCTCTTATAATCCATGTAAGTACATGTCATGTCTTATGATCCATGTAAGTACATGTAAGTACATGTAAGTACAAGTTTGGTCTTTAAACATAGTTAAATTAAACACAGAGTTTCTTACATAACAGCTAAGTAATTATTATTCCTTGTTGAAATGCTCTCTGTTTTTTTTTTTATTTTTATGTATTTGATCAGAAAAGAGAGGTGTTATGTTGTGCCCCTACTGGATCTGGGAAAACTGCAGCTTTCATTTTACCAATTCTTCATCATTTGAAGGTAATTAATGTACTAAATTCTAAGTAATGTCATGATCGACTCATGAAAAACATTTAGGATGTACACACCATGTGCTTTGATCTTACTTGTCTGAATGAACAAATATCCAGGCAATATGCTACTTTTCATTTCTGTATAAAGTGACCTGGTGATAATTTTGCATTATAGCAACCAGATCCCATCAGTATCTAGGAAAACATTTTTTGACTGCATTTAATTCACAGACAGCTCATTGAAAATTAAGAATGGAGACAAGTGATTGATTTAAAAAAATTATCCATATTGTTATGCGAAATAAAATTTTTCAAAGACAGGTATTAGTCTTGTTTCATGATGTACCACATTTCCTTAGTTATGAGTTTCAGTGAATTATGTTATTAATCACAATCGCTCTCTCTGCATGTGCATTATTATAATTTTGTAATGCCACAATTTAACTCCATTCTTCAACGTCAAAATCACAACAAATTGAGAGTTGTCGTGGATCTTTCATGACCCACTTAAGGGCTCAACTTTCAGGAAAAAACCTTGAGGCCAGCTGGCCCTTAAGTTTTTTGATTTAGTTGCCAGCAAAACTATTTCAGTGAAAAGTTGGAAAAGTTAGTCGCCAGTGAAGAAAATTTGGTAGCATCTGCGACCCCAGCAGTTGTAACTTCAAGCTCTGCACATACCCTAGAATTCATGTTTTAAAATACAAACATTATCTGGTTTTTTTTTTTGTAGTCTTCACGAAAGGAAGGTTTCAGAGCAGTTGTTGTGTCACCAACAAGAGAATTAGCACAACAGGTATGCAACCACTAGAAATTGTTATATATTAAATTATTTTATTTAATAACTACTTGAGTCGAGAGAAACACTCTGATAGTGAAGTACCGGTACATTTATCCTCAACATTAATCAAAATTAATACAAAAACCATGGCTAGGATCCATACTGGAACTTTGGATACCCACTGCCTACACTACATTTGTACAAGGAGGTAATTTGTCAACTGAATTATAAAGGGCCCATATACCATTTTAACTTGTTTTATTATATACGTTGCTTTCTATTAACCTTTTCAGCAACAGGCCATCAATATTTGGTCTTATTAATATAATATAATATAAATAAACAAGTGTCTGTGCTGGACATGACTTAAGACTCCACTGTGACAAGTAGAATTTTAATTTTTCTGTAAGTAATCTCCCTCATTATCTTATTGTCCCTGTAGATTTACCATGAATTCTGTCACCTCTCTAATGGCCGTATGTTCAGGATACATCTATTAACTAAATCGAAGGCTTCTTCTAACAGTTTTGGATCAAAGTCATCTCAGAAGTTTGGTAAGTCAGAGTCAAGAGACATGCTCTATTGCAGGAACATGGACTTTGTCTTAATGAGTGGTTAACTTTTTTTCTTTTTTGACATAAGTAACTTAGCCATTAATTTTCTTGATGTAAAAGATTGAAACATCTAAAGATTATTTCCCTTGCTGCATAATTAACTACCAAATATACACCAGTATATCTTTAAATGTTAGGTCTGGTATTTTATTTTACTAGCAATAATTAGGGCATAATAATTGTTATTGTATCCAAGTTGACAGTTTTGTTTGTTCATATCTATTCTCCACTTGCCAATATCTATGTGTTGGAATTTGATACTTTACTTACTTTTATTAAATGATATAGAGATTTAAACTCTTAGTACTTTTGAAAGGCATGGTAACTGAGAGAATGACTGTCTGTTAGATTCAGACTGGTCTATTGTCCACTGTCTTCACAAAGTTCATTCTTGGTCATTTACTTTAATATCAGCATGTTTTTTAACTTGCTTTTCAGATATTCTTGTAACCACACCCAACAGACTGGTACATTTGTTGTCCCAGGATCCACCAGGAATTCAGCTTCACAAGTAAATTCCTGTTAGGTTAATAAACAGTTAGATACATATAAAATACTGTGTGTTATGACATGTGGAAAAAAACAAGGGGTCAAGAACCAAAAATAAATTGCAAACTGGTCTGTATCTGCTGATTGAAACTTTAACCATGTCCTGCCTTGAACATCACACCCGTAACAAACTTGTTACTTTGTGGGTGAAATGTACCAAGAACAGGCAAGTTCACCTGTTACATCAAGGGCTCATCAAGGATACTCAGCCATAACAGGTGTTACAGGTTACAGCCCTTAATGACAGCCCTGCATGTTATTTGTAACATTTACTTCATCTGTGTGTCATATCTAGACCCTACCTAGCTCATTGTAGCTCAAATATAACTGCACTGACCACTTAAATCATGCATTGCATTTCAATCATTATTACCAGTGATTTGGTATATATATGATCCACTAGATTTTCATATAGGTACCTAAACATTAAAATTTAACTCTTCCTGCTCCAAACATGAAATATTTATTCCCTTCATGGATTGTCACAGTTGCACATTTCTAAAGTGGCACATGAAAACAGTTTCCTTCAATATTGAATTCTTTGTCCTAATCAACAGTCATGAACATGTGCTAAATACTATGTCTAGACCAGATTGAATAAGCCAAAAATAATCCAGATACTTCTATAGTCAACAGAAGTCTGAGCAAGCAGTTTATTTATTTATTTTAGAAATATTAATATTTTTAATTGTCTTAATTGGCTACCTGGCTCCTCTAACACTTGTGGTTATTTCAGGCAGCCAGTACTCTAATAATTTTATTATTTTCCTTGTAATGTAAATTATTTTCAAGACTACAGTGCAAGGTTTTGAAGACAGGTTTTGATCTTTCATATATTTACTTGCATACTACAAGGCTTTGTTGTTTTTTTGACCCTCTTTGTTCTTGTAGACTTTTTGATAGTTTTCTTTGTCCAAGATCTCGAAGTATCAGTTGATAAATCGTTCTACTGACTAAGCTTGAGAATTTGTATCAGTTTTCTCTAATTCAATTGTGAAATATCACTACCAACAGTATCCTCTGAATAATTTTATTGCAGTGTAGAGTGGCTGATTCTTGATGAAGCTGACAAATTATTTGAAGAGGGAAAGGATGGGTTTAGAGAACAGGTTAGCTAGCACTATTTTTATCTCATTATTATCACTATTAAATACAGTTGAGCCTCTATTAAGCGACCCCCTATAACCTATAACCCATAACCTATAACCTATAACCTATAAGCGGCCAACCTTTGTTTCGTGGCCAGTGCCCAAAGTCCTGGAAAAATTGTTAGCTATATACTGTAACAAAAACCTCTATTCAACGGCCACCTCTATTAAGTGGCCGTGGCCAGCTTCTTGCCGTCCCAAGGGTGATTTTGTTTTGTTTTATGCCTCTACTAAATGGCCAGGAAGATTTGAAGTTGGACATTTTTAGCCAGATGAAGGTAAAAGAATGACAAAGTGGAAATGTAATTGTTTCTTTGGCTTTTGTTAATGTTATGGACCGCATTATAACCATCATTGTTCTACTTAAAAGTTTCTCCACTTGCACTGATTAGTACTTATTTTTGACAAACTGAAAACTGGACCATGGCCAACGTTGTTTTCAGGTGATTCTCTATTAAAAGGCCACCACTATTAAGCGGCCAGTTGTCTCCGTATCGACTGTATACATGTATTATTATGTCAAATTGGTAATCAATCAATGAACACAATTTTATTTATCTCAATAATTATTTTTTCTGGATAAAGGTAGCTACTATTTATCAGGCATGCGACAAACCAGATGTTAAGAGAGCACTGTTTAGTGCAACCTTGTCTAACGGCATTGATGACTGGGCCAGGATTCACCTGGACAATGTTGTTAAAGTCACTGTTGGAATCAGGTACAAACTTACTTGCTCCTTGACGTATATATTTTAATTTATTCGTAGATGGGCAGTCATTTAAACTTGGTGATCTCAGGTTAATCAGTATATTATTATTTTGAATAAATCTCTGTCTGGCAAACTTATAGACACAATTAGCTTATTGCGACTGCATCATGTAGTAAATTGTGGCAAATGTGAGATAATACATTAAGTGAAATATTCCCTTAGAAATAAACATCAGATTTTAAAGGCATTTTTATGGGCTGCTTGGCAAGAGTTGCAAATGTCACAGGTTCTGAATGCCTCCTTAAGTCAGGTTAGAGCAGTTTTTCAGAATGTAAACGGGCTGACCTTCTTGACATGAGGTAACATAAGCAGTGATGTTTCTGTTGGCAATATATGAAATAGACAAGAAAAACAAATAAAGCATATTATTACACGATTAAGTTATGACCCTAATGATCACCCTAAATGATCACTCTTGAAGATTTTTTGATTGTTTTATCAATTTTATGGCTTACATTATTGTATATTTCTAAAGGAACTTGCTTTTACATAATTAGGATATCCCTTTCTTTTTCTTCCAACTCTTTTTCCCTTCTGTGTTGTCCAACATCAGACGTGAGTATACCCTATTCGGCTCTCAATCAGAATTGCATACTTGGAGTTTGCCAGCAAGGTTTTTTAGTTAACCAAGCTTGCTCTGGACCTTACTGGGAGAATATCAAACTCCAGTCTTTTTGCCCAAGAACCGTCCTCATGCTTGGTTAATAATATATATATGTTTTATCCACATGTGGCAGACAGATTCATTTTTTTTTAATGACAGTGGGCTTTAGAGAGGGTAGGGAATTGTATATCTCACCAGAACAACTGACCTCAGCTGGGGGGTCAACCTGGGACCACTCGATTCAGAATCCAGGGCACTAACTGTTCCCACTGCAGTTCCTAAATGTTATCATTGATATGGTGTCATGTAATATAGCAGATCAAAGAACCATGGCTTAGAATTTGAAAAATGTGAGAAACACAGGTCACTACGCAGTTTTTGTTGTTATTGAAAGATATTTTGTTTTAAACAGAAACACTGCCACCCACTCGGTGGAGCAGGAACTGTTGTTTGTTGGACAGGAGGCTGGTAAACTTCTTGCTGTCAGAGATATTGTTCAGAAGGTGAGGAGGTTTCATTACTGTTGAGCAAAAGAATTACATAACAATTATCATTCTGCAATGCTTTGCTTCAGTATTGTTTATGTATAATTTACTGATTGTACATCTACCATACTATACGCATGCATTGTTCTAGAAATTTCTTGAATTTGTTAGGATGATATTGCTCTTATCTGAAGCTTGAACTGGGCTTTTGTCACAAATGATTAGTGAGTAACAAGTCAGGCAAAAACGTTGATGTTTAGAGAAGCCTCTGTAGCATGAATTCATTAGTAAACAATACTAATTACAGTTTTTCTTCTTGGCCACCTGCTGCTAGCATTTTTGATAAGTCCTTGTCCCCCAAAATTCACACTACTCATTTAATTGGAAAAGGGCTTTAAGTTTAAATCTTCTTCACAGTATTTTCCCATGTAACGTTAGGAGAATAAAGTAAAATAGAAGATGGTATTATGCTGTTGGTATTTCTTTGTACATCATAGATTTCCATATTTGGATCTCAACAACAACAAAACTGTTAGGTGGAATTTTAAAATTCCCTTTTTCATGGTTAAGAAAAAAGTTAACATTGGGAGACATTTTACTCATTAGCCTCATTTTGCATGCCTCATAAAATGTAAGCTGCTTCATGTATTATTTGTCAAACAATTTAATAAATGTGTAATTATTAAAGCCAGTGCAGACTGCAGTCTCTGTGTAAGACTTGTTCAAATCCAAAGATGAAAATACAATGGAACCACGCGTTATGGCCACGCTGTTCATACGGCAATATTTTTGTGGCTCATTGGTTAAGATTAACAGCTAGGGTTCCACAGACTGTATTATCTTATCTAGGCTATACCGTACTTTGTAAGAATGCTGTAACAGTGTTGATGTTTCTTTCCACAGGGATTCCAGCCACCAATGTTAATATTTGTGCAGTCCAAAGAAAGAGCAAAAGAACTGTTTCACGAACTTATTTATGATGGCATTAATGTGGATGTTATTCACTCTGACAGAACACAAGCGCAGGTGAGCTGAATGGAACACGTCAGTTACAACAATATTCATCTAACTGTCTTGTTCTATGTTCATACCTTGTTTATAAAGTACCAGGGCAGGTGGATCTGAATTTCCCACTTTCTGTGCCTTTTTCTCCTGGCCCCAGTTATTCCTTTAATAGTTGTTGTTGTTGTAGCCCCTTTTGACTTTTACACTTGCCAAATGTATTACACAATATTCCTGAAGCTATCTTGAACTTCTTTCTGTGGGTCCCACCTTCCAGACTCGCCCACTGTACTCCTGATTGTCTAACGTTAAGTACAGTATATTTATACCCCTGGGTTGATTGGCCAGAAGACGATCTCCTGTACGTGATTTATATCATACCCAATACCGCATGACAGCCGTGACAGGCATTAATCTTACAACTTTGAGTTGCTCTGACCACATCAAGATGTACGTGTATGATCATGGATGGTTCACAAAATCCATTTTTAGGGCAGCATTGACATCTTCAAGAGTGTGTTCTCCCATAGTTAGTGGTTCTCCATACACTCAAAAAATGCTCATCTTTTCTATGTTATCCCTCCACACTTAAGGACACTACAGTAACTGTTATCATTGTGAATTCTTTTTCAGAGAGATAACGTTGTAAAGTGCTTCAGAACAGGAAAGGTATATATAATCATCTTTTAAAATTGTTTTTGTAGTGGAGATATTGTCTTATTTACTATAGTCTCTGTGACAGGCGTTCAAACTGGAGGAGGGGAGAACTAGAGGTAGGCATTCAAAGGGGAGGGAGAAGGGAAAACTAGAGGCAGGCATTCAAACGGGAGGGAGAAAGGGAAACTAGAGGCAGGCATTCAAACGGGAGGGAGAAAGGGAAACTAGGGGCAGGCATTCAAGGAGGAGGGAGAGGGGTAAACTAGAGGCAGGCATTCAAAGGGGAGGGAGAGGGGGAAACTAGAGGCATGTATCCAATGGTGAGGGTGAAAGGGAAACTAGAGGCAGGCATTTAAGGGGGAGGGAGAAGGAAAAATTAGAGGCAGGCATTCAAGGGGGAGGGAGAAGGGAAAACTAGAGGCAGGTGTTCAAGGGGGAGAAAGAGGGGGAAACTAGAGGCAGGCATTCAAATGGGAGGGAGAGGCGGGACTACGCTTCTAGTTTCCCCTCTCGCACCCCTCGCACCACCACGTCTTCCACATAGGCTATATTTATCTAAGAGTCAAGCAGTGACTTATACTTTTTTTTATCATTGATAAACAGATCTGGGTTCTCATAGCTACTGAACTCATGGGTCGTGGAATTGACTTCAAAGGAGTGAATTTAGTAATAAACTATGATTTCCCTACATCGTCTGTGGCTTACATTCACAGAATAGGTATGAGATATGATGTTTTTCACTTCAGTGCTTTGATTGAGTTTGTAGTGGATATAGTTTTGCGTAAGCAATCAATTAGTGAATAAAGCAAGCAAGTTACCAAGGAAGTCAACACTATAGCGGTTAATCAATCAGTCGATAAAATGATCAGTAAAATCCTCAATCAATCAATAATGAAAGAAAGCAATCCATCGGTCAGATATCAAAATTAATAAAATCGTTCACCTTACCTAGCAGAGTCAGTGACCAGAGAATTTCTCCCAATATTTCTCTGCGATGTTTTATTGTTTCAATTCATGTTTTTGTATTTATTTTGAAGGTAGAACAGGCCGTGCTGGTAGACCAGGAAAAGCTGTGACATTTTTCACAGAGGACGATGCAACAAATTTACGCAGGTACGAAAAGGGCTTGCATCAGTTAGTCATCGACGTTTCCAAAATTGAGCTGTGCTAACTTTAGTTTTGATTGAGAGAATTACAATGTGTATCAGATTGTTCAGATAATGGAATGTTAACCAGTGCGTTTTGGTTTTATCTTCTGGTCAAGGGAAACCATTTCCTTCTGTTCATTTGCATTACGGTAATTCGATGATTTTCTTTTTCTTTTTCCTTGCCGTCATGCACTGACTAATGAGTTGTCACGTGGTTTTGTTGTTTAGTATTGCCAATGTAATGAAGAGTTCCGGATGTGAAATTCCTGACTGGATGCTTAAGTTAAAAAAGCCTGGCAGGTGAGCGACTAGAAAACATTCAATTCTTTTGAATTTTGAAATTGAAATAGAATATTAAAATATTCAGCAAGCCCCGGCTGTACACATTTTAATTCCCTTTCTCTCAAAAGGAAATACTTGTATTACAAAATTAGAAAAGGAAAGATTTAGTAGCCAGAGTAAGACTATGATGGAACAGTTGTGATATAATAGATCTTAATTTAGGCATTTTGCGCTACAGTGGTGTGTAATCTTGGCATCACACAAAACACTTTATTGTTACTTTCCGCAGAAAATCGCGAAAGAAACTATCCAAGACGCCTCCGTTACGATCAGCGATTAAAACGGTGTCAAAATATGACTCGCAGAAGGCAAAAAGGAAGAGGTAAGAAAGCACACTTGACTTGTAACTGTACAGTTTACTTAGCCCGTGAACAGGCTCCGGCTGGAAGGGCCAAGAAGGAAGTGGCTGAGAGTGAAGTGGTCGAGGGGGAATATAGGGTAGGGGTTATCTTCTTTCTTCCTGTTTTCCGTTTTCTCTTTGCCCCCTTCTCGACTAGAGAGCCTGTTCACAGGCTATGACATACCGTATTTGGCAATCCTCGCTCCAGTCCTCGAACAGTGTTCAATTATTATCCAATCAGAGGATACTACAAGTTCTTCAAGAGTTAGGTCTGCTTGATCAGGAAAATTTCGGGATTGCAACACAAAGAACTTTTGAGAAAAGCAGTGTTAACACGCGAGAATCACCTGTTAGAAGCAAAGATATAGGAGTCTCTATTTCTCGACGCTTTAGTTGACAGCACGATTGATGTAAAGCAAAATTGAATTATCATTACCACAATGTTTCTTCGCAGTAACATTTCTGTCTATGGCGGAGAGACTCAGCTTGCTTCTATTCGAGCCTTCTTATTCATCAGCCTTATAACAGACCTTTACACGGTTTCTGACGCCATCTTGCTCTGGGGGGTGGACGGCAAACACAGCAAAAATTGCAGTAAATGCACGGGAAAAGTTAAACGCTCGATACCGAATAAGTCAAGAGTGATTGATGTTACGAGTATTTAATGCATTACAAGGAAAAGATACCCAGCTGAAGGTTTTTTGACCGAATTTGAAGTACATGGATTTGCTGTTAGGCGAGAAATTGCACTTTAGTTTTTCATACAAATGTCTCTAAACGTTCCCGCAAATTACGACTTGGTTTTACTAACACTAATGTATGGAAAAGTGAAAACCTTAATAACCTTATTGTGGCTTTTCTAGCGCAGCTATTTTCCTGAAATAAGAGGAGTAAATTCTTTTACCAAGTAACTTTCAAGTAGTTTTCAAAATTTAATTTCGTTATTTTTTAACAACTAGTTCTTGCAGCTTATTTTGAAAACCTTTCCTTGGAGGAACCGAGATTTGTTGTCACTATAAATGAGTTCTGCGTGCCACATATAGATTTCCGTCCTGAACATAACAAACTAAAATAGCAACAAGTCATTTGGTAAGAAGTTCGTGAAAATAATTTTGATAAGTCTCTCTTATTTTTCTCCCGTAGAGAGTTGATTGAAGCCTCAAAGAAGAAGAAGAAGAAAATGAAGTTATCATCCAGCCATGCCTCCGAGCGGGACACCTAGTTAGCTCTTTATGCTCGGTCGAATTAAGATTTTTAATCATCGTCATCTGCATCTCGGGGAAGGGGAGGATGAAGAATAAAATACGAGGTATCTTCTGCCCTCCCCTTTCCATCCTTAGTCCCAGAGCATTAATTTAATGTTTTTGAGCTGTTAATACAATTTCTCAGAAAAGACTGATCTATTTTTAGGAGAAAACTGTAACGACTAGGTATCAAATAAACGTACTTTTTCCAGTAAGCGTTTCTATTCATTTTCAATGTGCCTGACTTTCAATATCAGCACCCCAAAGTGTCGAGTTTAGTTTGGATTTAGAGCACATTTACCCCCTTACCCCACCCACACCTCATTACATTGAATATTTCGATGAAAATATCAAACAGTATCCCATAATTCATTTACAGAGTAAATTGGATCGGATGGTATAGACCCTATTTGTAAAGGGCTGCTAGGTTAAAATTATTTTGTGTGCATGTAATTTAGTACCCTGCGAGCAGAGTCTCCTCAGATCGAAAGAGAATGATCAATCGCAGGGTATTAAATTAGAAAATTAGCTTCTCTCAACTTGTTGAGAATAAAAATTCTTTTGAATTATCAACTCAAAAACGATGTTGGTAAGGCTAATTTTAATACTTTTACTAGTAAAAGGATTTATAATTGACAGCCATGTTTATGGAAAGGATCTATAACACGGACAAACTTCTCGAGAATAGCAAGCCATGATTTACAGCTATTCTTAGATACGGGTAAGATATGCGTGTAAATCAGGACAGTTTGGTTATTAAGATTTGACAACGAATAGATAAATAAATAAATAAATAAATAAATAAATAAATAAATAAATAAATAATATTTCCATATTTTGTGCGACTCGTATCTGGCTAGTCTAATTGTTCGCAAAGGGTTATTTAATAATAAGTGTCTTGCCAACGCAATGACCCCGGCCAGGACTCAAACCCGGATGGCTTGACCCGGATGGCTTGATCCGGACTCCCAGTCCACCGCGCATCCATGCCCTGCATATTTAAAAGGAAGTTTCATAAATCTGAATTAGCCTGTGAACAGGCTCCCGTGCCAGCGAGGGTGGAAAGAAAATTCGGCGAGCGAAGAGAGCGTGGAATAAACTCGCCTTAAAACCCAACCGGGAGCCTGTTCGCAGGCTAATCTGATTTATCTAATCTTAGGGTTTCAGTGGCTAGTATTTCCAGTGTCGGTGTGTGAAAGGCATAACATTTTATATGGAGGGTCTATATCTGTCCAAAATGATAAGGGCTTGGAGACTACCTCCTCTCCCGGGTGGTGACTGGTGTAATTCTCCCGGACTTCGTCACGTGACTTCAAACCACATGATCAGTTTTGGCGCCACTTTACAAGCGTCGCTTGTCTGGTTCTGTAACTCGAAGGAGTTTGATGCACATTCTTGAACTTCAGTTTTCTTTTAAAACGTTCAGCAAACATGTTACCTGTAACTGAAGAAAGTGAATACGAGAAGCAGCGACGTTTGAGGATTGCAGAAAACCAGGCTATGATTGCCAGTCTTTTCCCCAAAGATATCTTGCCTTCATCTCTGAAATGTTCTCCGAAGCCCTCGAGCAAAAACAGCCATGTGAAACGAAGACGATCAGAAATTTTGGTCCCAAAAAGATATCTTCCAAAACGAAAGTGTAGATCGTTCGTTAGCAAATATCAGTCGGATAGTGACGATGGAGAAGCAGAAGACGTAGAGGAAAATGTTGGTTCTCCGAGCGCTCTTGTGATCAAGTTATGGAATTGGCCCTCGCGTAAACGCAACCTGGAAAGTTCATCCGGCAGTGAAAATTCTGATGGCTCACCGAAAAGAAAGCGACGTGCTCCAAACCGCCCACCCAAGCTGCCGGTCAAAATCACCGAAGACGACTTGATCCTGGTAGCAGAGCGGGTAGCCGAAAAAAATTATGATCCAGTCAATGGAACAACATGTCATCAATGCCGTCAAAAGACCGACGATCTCAAGACAGCATGCCGTGGAAAGAGTTGTTTTGGAGTCCGAGGACAATTTTGCGGACCTTGCCTTAGGAACCGGTACGGAGAAGACGCCAAAAAGGCTCTGATGGATCCTGACTGGCAGTGCCCTCCTTGCCGAGGGATCTGTAACTGCAGCTTTTGTATGAAGAAGAGAGGTCGCCGATGCACCGGTATTATGATCCACTTGGCCAAGGAACGTGGATATAAAGATGTCAAGTCTTTCTTAGGTGACTGACTTTAAATCGAGCATAAAACTTGTTTCTGAAGACAATCGGGTACATGCTTTTTTAAAACCAGCTTGTTTTTTAGTAGTTAGGATTTTTAACATAGCCTATAAGTAATTTTTGCCTGCTTATGTACTGTGAAAACCATATTTTAAAGGGACCTTATATTGTAATCAGAGTTTTACTCTAAATATATTGGAATTAATTTTTAAAATTAGTTGTAATATTAAAATTTCAGTCATATAAGTTATTAGGTGTGATGCGGTGATTTCTCTTCAAGGGGTAGCGAATGGTCCTTCAAAAGCTCCGGGTCTTGTAAAATTTTAGTCGAATTTCATGGGTCTCGCAGTCTCAATTTTTCTACGAAGCTGTCTCGGAGTCTCAATTTTTTGCAAGGCTAAGGGTCTCGAAGTCCCAATTTGTTCTTTTTTCTGTTTTTATAAATGACTTCTTCTCACTTGATATGGAATTTGGTATCTGGACAACTTGCCCCCTGGACAATTCGCCCCAGACAACTTTCCCCCGATCCTCAGACAACTGGCCCCCTATATGAAACACCTATGTTACATTGGACAAATATATTTTTATGCTCATAAGGTAATAATTTCTTGAAAGAAGAAGAGCATATAAGCATAAAAATATATTTGTCCAAAGTAACATAGCTGTTTTCATATTGGGGGCCAGTTGTCTGGAGATCGGGGGCGAGTTGTCTGAAGATTGGGGGCGAGTTGTCTGAAGATCGGGGGCGAGTTGTCTGAAGATCGGGGGCGAGTTGTCTGAGGATCGGGGGCAAGTTGTCTAGGGCGAATTGTCCAGGGGGCGAGTTGTCTGACATTCTGGAATTTCAATGAAGTAACTTACAAATTTTCTGAGAAAAAGTTAATCCTAACCTCTTCCAATTGTCTCAATTCCACAAAAAGGTACAAAACCTACCACAACGTCTGTTTTGGCGCTAGAAAAACAGTTATTTTTCTCTAGGATATCATAACATAGTGTGTTATAATCAGATTTCCAGTTCCAGTCAGTTCCAAGAAGCTGGCTTAAGGCTGTACAAGCTCATTCTAGCTCAACTAAATCTGGGGCTCAAATTTTAAGACTCTGAACATCTCGCACTCACTTAAAACACTTTAAAGTATCGGTCTCACAATCTAAAAAGTCAAAATGCCTTGGGCTCGTAAAGAAAAACGCTTGTTTCGCTATCTTGTAAAGTCTCGCATTTACTATATGCCACCCCTTCTACACTGAGGGTGTGTTCTTTTGAGGTGATCTAGATCAGGATCAGTGATCCAAGATCACTCGGATTATAATTCATCAAAGAAACCGATGAATCCATGACCACAATGGATTCATCAGTTCCTTAGATGCACCATGTTAAGAGTGATCTTGGATCACTGATCCTGATCCAGATCACCCCAAAGGAATGCACCTTAAGTAGCCAGGGTGGTGTAGGTCTGCTAAGAAAAGGTATGGCAGGTCATCTTCAAGTTGTGAAACTTTGAGAATTTAGGGGCTGTTGACAAAATCTCAGATTACAAGTTTATTATTATCTGTGTTTTAACTGTAAACGAGTTTGAGCAAAATATTGGGATTTATCAGTTGCAAGCAGATCAATTATTTGCTGAAGGCTGAGGCAAATAATTGATATGCGAGACACTGACAAATGGGCTTTTAGCCAGGATTTGAAAAGTGGGCATCCAAAATGTTTCCAAGGGCCTGCTCAAATGAGCAATAATTTATAAGGCAACATATGAAAAATAAAACAATGTTCTCTAAAAAGTGGCCATCCACAGGATGCCTGCACACCCATCTGGCTAAACCCCTGCTGACAAAATTAATGATCTTTTGTTTTATCATTTAATCATCAAGTTTGTTTTCATATTCACTCTTTGACAGCTCAGGGAAGCGATCTGTCATATGAAAGGTCCCTGAGTATACTGTAATGGCAAAAAGTATAAAGCATGGTCAATTTGACAAAAAATATGGGAACTATCATTCTTTTGGCAGTAACTCTAATTTTCTGGTGGTTTTATGGCTTAAGTTTCTGAAAGAACTCGCTTTCGCATAAGAACATTTTTCTTCCTACCATTCTTTGTTTAACATCAGGCATGAGTATACCTAGTCATTTCCCAATTAAATTGCATGCTGGTAGCTAGCTAGCCATGTTTTTCCATTCTATGATCATGGTATTTTTTCTAAATATTTTCATTAGTGTAATAACACTAAGTATGGCCCTTGTGCCTGGTAAAAAAGATATATGTGTAAACCTGGTTGCTTGCTTTCTGTAAAGGGGCACTTTGTATTGGAATTTTAACAGAAACAGACTGAGTTTGCATCCTAAAAGTATCACTGTCAAAATTTTACCAAACTGTCTATATCATCATGCAGCATGTGTAGAATACTCCACCAAGTTGCCGGTATTCATAATGTGAAGAATATTATCATTCAAATATGCGTGGATACAATTTCTGAAGTGCAGTGATACCTACGTTTAAGTTGACACCCACTCAGCTCTTGCTAGTGTCTCTTTAATGGAACTGTCAATCATAATTTTTACGGAAAATTATCACAGAGAATTTAAAATGTTCTGCAGTAAAACCAAGACACTGCTAAGATCTAGATGCAGCCATGATTTTAATTCTTTTTGAGGTATATAATTTCTGAAACAATTTAATGATTTGTATGGTTCAAAGTTTGATTTACACAGTAAAAACTCAGATAATTTATGGCTTATGTTTTGAATCCAGCAGCCACTTTGCACCAAAAGAATTGCAGGGTAACTGATGTTTTTGTTTTGATAAATAAAGGTGAATCTTATCAGATAGGTTACAGTCAGACTATATCTTTTTCTTTGCATAAGTGTTTCCCAATCTGGGATTTAACATACTTCACTTTCATATACCTTTAATTGAAAAAAGGTTGGTTTACCCTTCACACAGTTTCATAACTGAACCATATTATGTATAAATCATCAAAAAAAGGAAATCTTTTTGTCATTTTCATGTAGTGCCTAATAAATGAAATGATACAGCCATAAAGTGAGTCTGTTTGAAATATTTTCATTAATGGGCCTTTAAAATAACTAAATGATGGATTTCCCTATTTTTTCATGGTGAAATCCCTACCCTTTTATATACCTGAAGTCTGAAAAAGGTACCCCTTTCAGGCAGGGCCTCCCCATATAGGCCAGGAAGTACCCCCCCCCCCCCCTGGGCANCCCCCCCCCCCACCTGGGCAATGGTCACATCATTCTGGGGGGAGCTCTGCAAAAGAACAATGATTTGCAAAAGAGCAAATGGTGGTGGTGGAAGAAAGATAATTTCACAGGAGAAAATACTTTCCTTCTGAGAAAACTATTTTACTGGGAAAAGTATTTTGGGGTATCTGCAAACTTATTAGAGTAGTAAATTATATTTCTGCATAAATAAAGTAATTCATGACTGAAGCCAAAATAAATTAACTTACTTTTGTTAATAATTATTGAATTTTATGTTTTTTTTGGCTGGAAAGGTTATATTTTACATTCTGGAACATAAAATCTTTTAATCAGGACAAATTGAACATTTTTGTAGTGCCATTACTTATCTTAAATGATTCTGGCTTTTATGATTACAAATTTGAATTTCCGAGCTATGTCTGCTCTCGGAGAACAGAGTAAATTTTATCCGGAAAGCATTGTTGGACACTCTTTTCATTTCTTGCTGTAACATTGGACAATTTCAGGATATCGGGAACGAGAGGTAGGCAAGTGAGGCAGCGAGCTGGGGCTATATCCAGATCCTCAGCCGCTCAGAAAAACAAATGACGTAATGTCTACATTTAGTGCTGTTTGTAAATATTATGGGATAGCTAACGTGGACGAACATCTTTTCGAAGGTGTGCAGTTTCCATTAGACTGGTTTTATACGATAAAAGAAGCCACTTTTTTCACTGTTTCATTATTTTGACCCGGGAAATCCTTGAGTAATTGAACAAAGAACTTCAGAAGGTAAGAAAGCGCGAACATTTTCGGTTACCCAAAGCGTTTTGACTTCCAAAGAGGCCTCACCCGCGACAAGGATCATGGCTCCCAACCGCCAGACGCAAACGATGGAAGTCGTTCAGGCAACTTCGGACTCAGTGCAGTTTAAAGAAATTCCCATCAAAGTAGGAAAAACATCAAGGATAACGAGGTGTAGTTCTATCAGCTACAGCGAGGAAGAGAGCCTCGTGCTTGACAGCAGGTCCGAATATTTTCGGTCTCTTGCCTCGTTGAAGAAGACGTGCTTCATCAGCAGCAGTGTCGCAGACACTCTAAACTCGAAATTGTGGCCTGGCGTTAGTTCTGGCCTGGACGAAGATGACAGGCAAGAGAAAGTGAAACAGAGGGTCGCATTGGAGCCCGAGGAGAGGAAAGAAGCGGTGGAGAATGACGATAAGTCCAGTGGTTTTTGTTGGCAACAAACGGGCGAAACAGCCGACGAAAAGGAGTTTGAGTTCACATGGAAATCGACAACAAATGAAGCGAAACATACAAAGACAGGTCAGTGGCTTGTTAACTTAGCTAGTGGTTAGTTAAAGTGACGAAAATGTTTTTGACTTTTTATTCCGGCCTAAAAATGCAGTCTTGTTTACATAAACCGAACTTCGGCGTGGGTGTGACGTAGTTCTTTTGCCTGTGCTCAGATCAGAAGACAGAATAGATTCTGTATTAATTCATGATAAGAGTTCTAGTATTAATATATTCACTCTGAATGTATCGAATCTGCGCTGGTACTTCTATTATAGCTTAAAATCTTTTTTACTAAACGGCCATATATTGTGAAAATTGTGTTTGTATTGAAGAAAAGAGTGGTTTCTTTGCATTCCTTCGGCCCACGTTGTACATGTACAAGAATCTTTGGAGTGGATAATGGTAGAGTGGAATATAGAATGAAATTCTAAACAGAAATAAGTGCACTTTTAATTCTCGTAATGAATTTTTTGCTAAAGAATTGTTTCGTCTCATGGTACAGTTGTATCAGCTTTTCGCTGCAGTAGTCACATGACTGGATATGGATAGAGGAATTCAAATATTTTCCTGTTTCGTTTTATACTCTTGGCAGTCGCGTGATCTAGTTAACAGGAAGTCTGGTTTTATTAGCAAGTACAATTATGATGCGCACAAGGTCCAAGTCTGATGGACTGTAACTTGTATTTCCTGTGTTTTATGTTTGAATAATATACAAAGAATAAACTCCCATAACTTTGATAACCAAGATGAAAACCAGAAAAACAGGACCAATCATCAGAAATTTGGTGCAAAGATCTTTCTTTTCATTCACCATTCCCTGAAACAAATTGAATTGGGTAAAACATTTTGCCCTTGTTCAATAAAATGAATTATTGTTCTTATTCTTTTTCACTGGTAGAAGAACTGAGCACTAGGAAGGTTTCTATTTTGTCATATAGGTTTTGAAGACTGGATGGCAGCTTTTTAACTCTTCATTTAATTTATGAAAATGACATTAAAAGTAATTTATTTACTTGTTATTTTTATATTCTAACTGTTTTTGCAGAAACTTATGAAGAAGACACCAGTTCTGATCTTTTGATGATTCCATATTCTGTACAAGAGAGTGCGACACTTCCAGAGAATGTTTCACAATTAGAACCAATGACAGCATCTGCCAGCTTTGAAGTTGAGGAAGTGTTCCCTACAAAAGATGAGATTTCACCAAGTGATGATTGCGCTGAAGTTAAAATTGAAAAAGTGAAGCTTGAAGAAAAAGAAATCCAGAGCAAAAGTTTGTTCAGAAGGTTTGTTTTTTTTTCCTTTTAGTTTCCTTCATGATATGAATTCAAGTGGTTGAAATTTGTAGTTTGATGTTTGACTGATATGAAATTGGTACATTAAGGTGAAAAATTAAATTTTCGTTTTTGCTTTTTGTCAATACAGTTATCCACTTTTATGTCTGTAAAATGTGTCAGAACATACTACATTTCTACATGTGATTCATAGCAGGTCAAATTGGACTTACCAGTTTAATCTAATTTTAACTATTTTCTTCTTGAATTTTCAGACATGCTGTCAGAAGGGTGAAGAGAAGTGTTTGGTGTATTGTTGGCCCTGATCCCCCTCCTGTACGATGTAAACGAACAAGGAAATCATGCAAAACAGTCAAGGCAAGAAAATGCAGACACCTAAAGAACCATGCAGTTAAACAGTCTTCTGTATATGACAAGACTGAAGAATCAATCACTATTTTAAACACAAAACCATCTGCTTCCAAAAGAAAGAGAGCTAACTCTCCTGTTGGCAGTGAACCAAGAGATTCTGGTGTTCACAGTGAAAACAGCAGTAGTGGAAGTAGCGGTGGGCATAGTGGTAGCTCAGGAAGCAGCAGTGGTAATTTTGCAGGTGGAAATGGCAGCACAGGAGGTTTTGGTGGCAAAGGAAATTCAGGTGGAGATGATGATGATAAGAAGAAGGATTTTCCTCAGTGGCATCTACCTGCTCAACAATACAACACAGCAAAAAAGACAGAAAAAAAGAAAAGAGCAAAACAAGATGACAAAGAAAAAGGTTATGCAGAAGGAGAAAAGATGGAGTTGGATTATGTTCCTGATGCAAACTTAACTGGCTTCCCAATGTTCTTGCCTAGTAAAGTTGATAATGCAGAACAGTGTCACAGTCCTGGTGAAGGGGAGCCTACAACCATAAGTGGGAAGGTAGCTTACCAATAATTCATTTTTTAGGGCAAAACATGGTGTACAGTACTGCTCAAAAGTAAGTTACCCCCCCTCGCCTTGTCCCTCTCGAGAATTGCATCTCCAGTGAACCAGTGAAGCAGATATTTTGGAATAAATTACAACCTACATGTATAGGCTTTTAAGAAACTGATGAATTTTTCACAATGTACAAGATTCTCATCTCGTGAGAGGGTGGTAACTTACTCTTCAGCAGTACTGTAGATAGGTCTGTATTAAACTTTATAGCTTTTGGAAATTGTGGTTTCCCATTCAGTGATCTACTATGTATTTCAACTGAAATAATGAAATGTCAAATGGCTGTATTGCTGTAAACTTAAGTTAGTTCCAATTCCATAACTGAAGTACTATATTTTCTTGTTATGGTCTAAATCACTTCATCAAGTTGTGACTAGAACCATTGAACTGTGACTAGAATTCCCCAGTGTATTTATCTCATAAAGTGGTAGTGGTAATTGCCAGAAGATTTGATTTAACCCTTAAAGGAAATCAGTCTGGGTATGGAAAAAGCTCTCTTGCATCCCTTTGAGGTACCATTTTGTAAGAGACACCCAGATAAGACCTCTACTGAGGTTAATAACAATAAAGATAGTCAAATTGTTCAGGAAAATTTAAACATTTCAGGTCAGATCTTACACAGCCTAATAACTGTTTTCATTTCATTCTGTGCAACCATTGGAGATACCTTGTTGGGACTGTAAAAATGTTGTATTTAATCCTGAAGACCTAAATCTTAATTTCCACCCTACGAAAGACAAAGAGCATCCCTGCGCCTTATGATAGCCTCCCCCTTAATTGGATAAAATACCTTGCTGTCTTATAGTTTTCTAACTAAGTAAGTGAAGCTGATTATCAAATGTTGAGTCAGTTTCTGTTACTTTCCCTAATAAATTTTTTTTTCCGTTTCTGCTTTGCAGAGTGACTTGAATTTCTTCCCTTCAGACCTGCAACATGCATGTTATTGTTCCCGTCCTGTTTGTCATAACATGAAGTGCAAGCATGTAAGTTTTATTTTTATATGATTATGTTTGTGTCTTCAGAGCAACAGGCTGTCACTTAAAGAAAATTCTAGACTTTAGTGAATGAATTATAAGTTGCTAGTTATTGTGCTGATCAGTGTAGAAGTCACTAAAGATAGATTGCTTCTCTGTGAAGTAACAATCACAAATTACTTGCTGAGGGTGAAGTGGAACTCCATCTCGCAGAATGTTCACCTAGATTCATTGAACATGGGGCAAATAATTGTTTTTAATTAGTATAATTTCCAGAGGTGAATGTCCAGATGCCAAGCAAAAACCTGAAATAAGTAAAAAAAATTGGAAAACAACACACTCAAAAGCTTGCATGCATACATTACTGTACTTGATCAAAATGTATAACAGAAACTCTGTCAGTGAAACAGCACAATCACCAGGTACCAAGCACTTGAAAGTATTGTTTGGTATTCATAGCTCTTATCTAAAGGGAAGTAAATGTAACTGCTGGTGATGTCATAATGTTACTATTTCTGATAGTATAGGTAATAACGTAAACTTTTTTGTATCATAATTGGATTTTCCAACTTTCATGATCTTCATGCCTACATTGGTTCATAGGTGAAGGCAGAGGTCGATCACATGAAGGTTCATAAAGCTTGGAAGCTGTGTGGACGCTGTGTAAATACACGAAACATTGTGAAACAACATGCAAAGTTTTGTCGTAGGCCTGGTTGTCGAGTTCCAGACTGTGAGAGCTTAAGGTAACTGTACTAGCTCATTAAGTAGCAGTTTCAATAAGTTGGACAAGACAATTGACATAGTTTACTAGATCCCAAGAGTGTTCAACATCAAACTTCTCATTAGATTATGAAATTTTGTGTTACAGTGTAACTGCCTACTACATAGTAGGAAAGACGATCAAACTTGAAGAATCACAAGAATCAATTTTCTCTATTTTTCTATTGTTTTAGGAAAACCCTTGTAAACACCAATACATCAACTAGTTTATTTGATTAGTGCTTAAAAAGTCATGCTTAGCATGGAATATGTCCTTTCAAATCTCTATTTCAGCTTGACATCAATTAGCATTTAATTTCATGTAAGTTGCATATAGAGACAAACTTAAGACTCAATCTGTAGCCATCAATGAAGTAATTGGAATGCTTAGTAATGCATTGTGGGACAATTTTCAGGCTTAGCACACATTTTTTTCAAGTTTATGCAAGTCTGGGGGTCTAATCAAGCAAAACAAATTGTGATTCGTGTGATTTATGAATTTTAAAATTTTTTTAAAGCAAAAACTTGATCTGTATGCAGGATCTCCATGACAAAAAGCTTAGTCATTTAGGTGCTTGGACACAGTGTCCAGCCATGCTGTCAAAAATTCTAGCACGGTTTTGCAGCACACTTAAAAAGAATGCAGTTAAGAGAAAACAAACATTTTTAGTTAAATCTTGACCACGTCCAGTTGTCACAGTCTATTTATGAAAATGTTTCTATTCATAGGAACAGTACTAATGTTGATATTGAAGTTGGACAACCTGTCCCGCTGTGGACCAGGAATGTGCCACCACAGCAGTATTTTTGGACACCACCCAGGTCTCTCTATTGTTCACCACTGAATATTCCTCGTATTGATGGCTGCGTTATATTTCGGGTAAGATTTTAAAAAGTTGTAGTTCCATGTAGTGATCACAGGGTTCAGTATCATTGCCAGTCTGGTATCCAGAGACAAACAGAGCCGAATTGTGTTGAGATGTTAAGGGATCAAAAGTCTAGTTGCTACTACTGCAAAAGAAAAAACAAAACAAAGCAAAACAAACAAACAAAAAAACTTCACCTTGTTTAGCCAAAGGTGGTGAAAATGTTTGAGTAAACTCATGTTGTAGATGTACTGTAAGATGTGAAATTATTGTGTTAATTGAAACCAATAACACCAGGGAGAGACAGTTGTTTCTGGTAGCCCAGGGCTAGTGGGTTTTTCAGTCAGGCTTGTGGATTGTGTCCTTTGCTTGCCTGATGGGCAAGTAAGGTATTTTGGGGAAATTGCTTGAGAAAATTGAAATTACAGAAGTACTGTAAGAGATGGTATCATTGTTTTTATTTACTTCTAAATTATATGCTAGTGAGAGTATTTTGGGGAAAGTTGGTGGGGGGTGGGAAGGGGGAGGCTGGCAGTTCGGAGGACTGTTGGGCTAGTGTATCATAGGCTGCAGTTGTACCTTGTTGGAAGCGAAGCGTAAAACTCAGTCCTTTGAACCCCAAATAAACGTAAATTGTCGCAATTCCAGTGACTAGAGGTTGATTCTGCCTTTTAACCCATTGACTCCCTGTGATGAGCGTTGTCCTTTGTTCCACTTCTGACGTCAACACCTTTGACTAAAATTGGTATCACTTATACTCAAGTTCTGCAAGAGGAAAAGATCATTCCAGTGATACCCAGGTCAGAGTGATTGGCTCAGTGGAGCCTGAAATATGCACATCAGTGCTACAACAACAACAACAACAACAACNATTTGAGTTAAAAACTCAAAGCAAAATTCCCTGGGACTACGCTTAGTTATTCCATGATAAAATTGCCTGTCTCTGTGATGCTCTCTGAGAAATTTTTGAACTGAAAGCAAGCCCAGTAGAAGGTCAATCGCTGCAGCAAAAAGACAGGAGAAGGAGAAAAAGGAAAGTTGAAAAAAAAACTAAAAACAATGAAAAGCCTAAAGATGTAGTTCACTTTCTCGTCCAAAATTTTAATTTCTGCACATACCCGAGCAAAAATCTCCTAAAACAAGATACTAGTGGAAATAAAAGGCATGCCGTCATGTTGGAAAAGCCTTTTTGAGTAGATTGGAGCTAGCCTGGCTCATGTCCAGGCGAAAAATCTCCAAAATGTCCCAAAAAATGTGTTTTTGCTAAAAGGCTCTGGGAGTCAATGGGTTAAAGGGATGTATACTTCTGTGACCATAATTACATCAATTTCTTGGTTGGCTACTATTCTTATGCAGGGCCAGGAATGATGTCTCGGTGCCCTTTTACCTCAGTACCTTCTACATTTAAATTTTGTTTTTCCTTGTAGAACTCAACACTGCTGCCTGAGTTCTACTTTTCAGAACACATTGATTACAATGTGATGAGAAAGAACAAACTTGGTACTGGTTCCAATGGAAATATTTATTCCATTTGCATGCAGTCAGACCTTAACCAAAAATTGGCCATGAAGGAGGTGAGTGTCTTTCAAGAAGCTAGAAGGTGAATTTGCAAGAAGGTTACAACAGTCAGTATTTGTTGTTCAGAAGCAGTGAATGACAGTAATACACTGTACTCGTAGTTGGTTTTCATATAGTAGAGTAGGTCAAAAAAGAATGAAAAATGATGAGTCTCAATGGATGAGAGTTCAACAAGAGTTTCCTTCAAGTTTCCAAAAGTATTATTATAACTAGTAGAACGAGTTCTGCATATGTATTGATCAATGAGAGTTCCTTGTAAAATCAGAAAAACATCTTGTTGAATAAAATTCAATTTTTGTACGAAAACACTATAACACAATGGTTTTTGCAACAGCTAGTTATGCCTCTACAGTAACTGTCAGGTATAGAATATGGTGTCTAGCATTACCACGAATGAATAATATTTGAAGACTTAAAAGAATAAAATTTATGTTGACATCTTTAAATTTTTTCAGACAAATTACCCCATTCCCAAGGAGGAAATAGAAGTGTACAGGGCACTTGGAGAACATAAGCACATAGTAAATCATTATGGAGCAACGTTCAAAGGCAGTGAGGGACATGCTAACATATTCATGGAAAAGTGTGGTAAGTTATTCAAAAAGATTTATGATTTATATCTTTTGTTTTGGTTTAAAATATTGTTCAAGTTAACTGTAAGTGTCTATACGGGCAACAGCGTTTTTTAGTTTTCATATTTCTATGCATGTGTCAAGAGGTTTTGTATGGAAAAAAGTTGGATTCCACCGCTTTTTTGCCCTAAAATCAAGCTTTAAAGTTCCTGCTTTGGCCACACCCAAAGAAGTTAACTGTGAGTCAGTGCAAAAAAGAGTTTCGGTTCCTGAGTGGGTCTTGATGTCATGTCAGGAAGGACCCACTCCTGCTAGTTCATGCCGCTATTGTTTCAGTAATGGTGAGGAATTTTTTTTTGACATAAATATGCATGTTGAAGTTGTCAAACAAAATAAAAACACTAAGCTTCAAGAGGCCCCTGAAGTGATATCACTGGTCAGCAATCTTTCATTATGTGGTAAGCCTCATTGAGCTTGACAGAAGCAGGAACTTTAAAGCAATGCCCTTCCTCAGTCTATGAATGCCATTAGCTTGATCAGAAACCATCCTGCCTTTAAGAACACATGACTCAAAGTCTAAATATTTTTATTTCCTGCAGACCAATCACTTTATCATTGCATGGAGCAAATGCAACGTCGGCTATCATTGAACGAAGCCATGTTCTACTGGCTACAAATACTTGATGCAGTGGATTACTTACACAACTTGCCAGTTCCTGTGATTCACAAGGATATCAAGGGTAAGGGAAAATGTTTTGATGTAGAATCCCACTTGCAGTGTACAAGCCATAGTCTGACACAACTCCACAAGAACATTTGAAAGGAAGTTTCACAAGAAAGAATTTGGCAATTAATTATTTTATGAACATTCCATGGTTAACAGAAGTGATGATGTACTGTATCATGGAAGGCCAAATACTTTTTGCTTATTGGGTTGTGGTTATACAATATATAGTGTTACATGATGTATTCATTTCATCGTGGTCACCTACACTTCAAGAAACTGAATGGGCTACCTAGTCAATATGTTTAAAGATTAAGGATTAAACAGTGATATATAATAATATAATAATAGGTTGTTAAATAGTCAGGCTGCAGTTGTAATAATCATTTTTTGTAACTTTGCTTGCAGCCAAGAACGTGTTGCTCACATCAGAAGGTGCAAGAGCCAAACTTGCTGACTTTGACTCGGCCAAGAGACTCCTACACGAGTTGACAGAGGCAGGCCTCAAACCACTTGGTACCAGAGGATTTGCTTCCCCTGAGGTAAGAACTGGTATCTCTGTAGAAAAGTGTACAGAGCATAGGGTGTTTTTTAGCCTTGATTTCATTTGCACTCTTTTCTGTGGTATTCCTAAAAAAAGGCAATTAGAGGTTTTCAGAAATTTTGAGCACAGGCATGTCATTTTCCCATGCAAGTCTGTTTAGTAAGAATGAAAATATATGAAAAGAACTTTTTTCCCACAAACTTCATCATTGCACTGGCTGCCACTCTGTGTAGTGATGCTGGTAGGTATTTCCCTGAGAGTTTGTAGCTAGCCTGTCTTTACGATAATATTATGTGTTTAAGCAACTCTGCCCTTCTGAGACAGTTCCAAAAAATTGGAACATAAAGAAACGTTTTCAAAAATCAGTAAAACAAGAGAGCTTTAAAAAGTTATATACATTATATTACAAAGTTGCAGAAGGTAATGTTGGTTGGGTTGTTTTAGGTTTTGGATAGGAAGCCTCATGGAAGGCCAGCTGATGTGTACAACTTAGCTTGCTTTTTGCTTGAACTAACTGTTGGTGTTCCAACTGAAGATACATTGCACGCAAAGGTTTGTGTGATGAACTTTGTGATTAATCGACAGTGACTTCTATTAATCTCGGCATTCTTTGCCTCCGATTTCAGGTGTACAGTGGAATAATACAGATCATTTATGATGTTAAGATGTCTTGCTCTTTCTTGATGATTATTCAGATGTTGTAATGTGATAGTTCTTCCCTTTACAAAGGGCAATTGCCAATCTAGTTCATTAAATAATTGAATGAGGATGGGCCTTTTAAGGGTTTGTCTTGATATGCAATATTGCATGGGAAAGATGTGGCTTATTGAGTAGGGTTATTCAGTTTAACTTTCAAGATTTTAATTAAAGAATGAACAAAATACATACATTTTGAATGTGATATGTTTTGACTTCCTGAATGTTATACGAGATACTCTCTGTTTTTGCACATTTGATATTTTTGTTACCTTGAAACATGTTAATACAAAGTTTTGGCATCTAATTAGTATTGGGTAATAATTATTTATGATGTATGTTGCAGATTGACTGTTTAAAGGAACTAAATCCTGATTTGGCCAAGATGGTACAGCAATGTGTTAAGGTAAGATTGAATAAATGAATTTTTTTCAGAATGTCAAATTTTGTGGTTAGTGTTTTTTCCCATGAGACTAGCTAATGGTTAGGATAATCTTTGGTTGTTGTTAAATGGTACAGGTAAATAGTTTCATATACAGTGCCCCCCCCCCACCAACCCGCCTTATTGCCACCCCATTAATACAGCCACTGACCTTGTTATTATGGTCACTTTATTTATTCTGGTCCAAACAAAAGCTCAGTCACTCATTTTCTTATTTAAAGAACCCCTTTAATATGCCACCCTGTTAATACGGCCATTGGTGACCAGATTAACAGGGTAACTGTAGCTGCATAGGAAAATAAACACTTAAATGCTGAAGAAATAAAAATCTGTTAAAGGCATAGAAACAGGATTGGAAGTATGGGAGAACAGATAATGTAACAATGTTTGCTTTTTGTCTTGGGTCAAATAGCACAACCCAGAGGAGCGGCCTAGTGCTCGCGGATTGTTAGAGTGGCCAGTTATCCAGAGGTTCAAAGCTGGGCAACCTGTTTTAGAATAAGGTATTCATGTCTACTTTTTCGTCCTCGTTGTTTGATTTCTTGAATTAGCTATGGTCACACATTTGATAGTATTGTTCCTTTTATTTTAACAGGTCGTGAATTAAAGATGACTATTGTTGGTAACAACACACGCACTTGAGTTGGCTGTGCCACAAATCACTTAGAATTTTTTTTTACATAATATAATTAAATGTAGATTGATAAATTGTAGAAAAGGTAGAATACACAAAATATGTGTATTATTATTATTTATAGAGTAGGTTATGAACTAGTGTACAGTTGCTAACTTAAAATTGTGGTTTATCCTGTAGACATAAATCAGATATGTTTGTGAAACACTTAGTTTTTGTAGTATTTGTCTTCGTTTTGTTCAAAATATTAATGTGATTTTCAATTTTTCAGTCATAAAGCTAAGCTAGACTGCATTCAACACTGAGAAATAGAAGCTTATAGTAGGATTGCCTAGTGTATAAAGTACTTTGACTTGCTGAGAACTTTATGAGAAAAGTGCATAGCTGAGTGGGTGTAACTCATTCATAACTTTGAATAGAAATGCTGTCAATTAAAGTAGTGTCTCCAAGAGATGTTATCCAATAAATCATGTAAGGGATTGTCTTGAGGTTGAATGATTTCATGCAACTTTCGTTGATTTTATACTAGTGTCTAATTCTCTTCAAAGTATGATTTTTTCTAAACGGTAACACGGCTTTGTTCTCTAAGGGTCACTTAGACGAGTGTTAAGTCATCGCGAACGTTAAGTGACGGTATGGCGGTGGCCAAGTAGGTAAGAAGGCGAGACGAGAAAAGTTTTTCTTCTCGTGAGTGCCACGCCCATGTGTCGTCCCATTCCCCTTAGGCTAAAGCGTCTCGCCTCATACATAATCCCTGCTGAATTTGACAGAAAACAGACTGCCAGCAGTCTACTAGTAGATAATTAAGACAGGAAAGTGCTTGAGGTAGAAATTAATAGAAATTGTAGACCAGTCATTTGTTGTAAACTTAGGTGTGAATTTTTTGAATATTAAATGATGCTTTTGTGAGTGTATTAGTGACTCTTGGGTCATTCTCTACAAAGAGTATTGTAAACGTTTGGATATCAACTTCTCCCGACCCTTAAATGAGGTCAAATAAGCCCACCCCCTAACTCTTAGACACAAAGATTCTTCCACTAGAAAGCTGCCCCAAATATAAGCCCATGGGCCTAGATTTTCCACCACAACTTCTAGGGTTTGTATTTTTTTTCTTCGTTTCCTCAGAAACGAAACGATGAACTATTTACATGGTGAAGGTAGTCTCTAATCGGGCTGTAAGGCCAGGTTCCACTTCAGTTATTCAAGTTAAAAGCACACCTGTGAAAATTCTGTGTTACTGAGGGGTAATGTAATTGTATAAATTGAAGGGCCGTACGCTTGATCGCCTCACGTCGAATTTAGGCCGGGTTTTTTCCCTTATTTGCCTGAGTGTTTGGGAAAGTGACTGAAAGTTGTATTCGAAATACCCGGACCTTGACATTTTTCACTTGTTTGCACATTGTTGGAAGGAAATCTACCTGGTTAAGATAGTTCACTCTGAAGCAACGATCATAGCTCGTGCACGACGACCTGACTGACGTCGTGAGATCCAATAGAGATGAACAGTGGAAAATAAGGACAAACAGTATGAAAACATGACTGATCATCGCAGTTATATACACAATTTAAGCAGTTGTGAAATTAAAGGCTGAAGAAAAATCAGGCCTGAACGGGAGTCGAACCCAAGAGGCCAACCCATGACCTGTCTGCGATACCGATGCATTGCTCTACCAACTGAAGTGTGGTTCAAATATATGGTCTTTCAGATATTCACTAGTGGGAACAGTAGAAACGGAGAGACAGTAGAAACAGAGAACCAGAGGTATGGTACGAACACACGGGCGTTACTGACAGCATGCAATAAGAACAGTAGGAACGGAAGGAATAAAGGAACAGTGGGAACGGTAGGAACAGTAGAACAAAAGAACAGTATCAACGATAAGTACAGTAGGTAGGAACAGTGGGAAAGTAGGAACAATAAGAGCAGAGGAATAGAAGAACAGGACAGTAGCACACTAGGGACGGTAGGAAAAGTTAGAAGAGGAACGTTAGGAACAGAGAAACAGTAGGAACAGCAGGAACATCCGGAACGGTAGGAACAGAGGAACATTAGGAATGCCACAAGTCGACCTTTGCTTAGTCATTGGCTAAACCAACAGACCGGTGAAGTATACAAGTATTA